GAAGGAAGGAAGGAAGGAAGGAAGGAAGGAAGGAAGGAAGGAAGGAAGGAAGGATAAATACGGGGTGGCTAGTTTGCAGTCCAGTATGTTGTAGGAACCTAGGCATTATCTAGTGCATTCTTTGCACCTGCTCATAAGCCATAACATGGTTTACCTGTTTTGGCATGTTATGTTATGTGAACCCAGCAATTGTGCTTGGTTAATCTATTTCTAAGGTTTAGCAGTGTAAACTCAGCCTATTTCTTTCTGAAGATGTATATAATCTAAAATTTATGATTACCTTTATGTGATAGCTGCTCTCCTGTTTTTCCAATCTTTTTAGGTTCAGTCCTTCCTAGAGAATCCTACCACATATCACCTGCAAAGGTCACGAGACAAGAAGGTCCAAGAATACCTGTCTGAAACTTATGGGAACAAGTTTGCACCACTGCTTGGTGCTCCTTCTCCCAAGCCTCCTCCTTCTGCCTCACCTGGAGTGAGGCCATGCCATGCCATGCCCTCTTCTGCGGGCAACAGCACTCCCAACAGTCCAATGGCAATGCTCAATATCAGCTCCAATCCAGAGAGAGAGGTTCGTAAGTTCCTTGGGAACCCAAAAATTGTTGGAGACGCTAGGTTAAAACTGTGTTTAGGAGGTGTTCAAGTTCTGTCTCCTCATCCTGTAATCTGAAGTGGGAAAGTCCAGCTGTAACTGAACCACATGATTCTCTGGTTATGTAATATGGTTTTTAGGAGGGGGTGGCTACAAAATGAAAGGTGACATTTTGCATCATTGTTATATTGCAGGAAACTATCATCTCCATTCTTTCTGCAGGAGATCCTATAGAAGCATGTATTGACAATTCTTATTTTCTTATGAGTTGTTGGGGCTTTGTTTGGGAACTTGTGTGGTGGGTGGGGGAGAGATTATATGTGCACCTTGGTCTGGGAGAGGGGAGCAGGTGGGTGGAGTGAGATGTGGGGAGCTGAGAGGGTAGGCAGGAACATAGGACAATAATGGGCAAAGGGAGATATGTCAGGAATCTGGGATCAGGCCAACTCAGGAACACCAGGTCTGCTATTTGAAAGTGGTATCTCTTTCTGTTCCTTGGCTTCCTCCCTCAGTGCCTGGCTATTGGATCCTCAGTGGCCCTAGGCTGCAGTTGTTGCTTTTGAACACCAGGTCAATATATAACACAGCTGTCCTCATTTATGAACTTATCATGGATGAGGATGCTGACTTGGTATGCTTAACCAATACCTGCTTGGGCCCAGAGGAGGGGGGTACCCATCTTGGAATTGTGTTCACTTAGGTTTCAGGTTTTGCAGCAGCTGAGACCCCAGGAGAAGGGAGGAGGGGTGGCTGTCAGAAGCTCTGCTCTACAGATAATCAGATATGAGGCACTCCAGTTGAAGTTAGAGTTAAAGGAACAGTTAGGATTGCTGCTGATGTACTGCCCTCCCTGCTGCCCAGTATCATCCTTGCCTGAGCTGCTGGATTCTGCCCCTGGGCTGGTAATAGAACTCCAAGGCTATTAATGCTCAGGGATTTCAATCTGCTGTCTAGTAGCGTTGAGTCCAGGATGGCTCAGGATTTCATGGCCTCCATGGCAACAATGGAGCTGCCCCAAATCATCAAATGGCTCAACATACTGATGGCTGCATTGGTCTTTGTTTTGAGGTGATTGCAACATGAACTGGTAGTGGAGGACCTTAAGGTCTGTTCATTCAGCCCGCCCCAATGGGTGTGGGGTTTAGGTGATTCAGCTGAAGCCTTAGTCACTGCCTGGAATGGGCAGGTGGCTGGAATCTTGGACTGTATCACCCCTATGCAGTCTCTCCCTGTATGCCAATCCTTGGGTGCGTATTGGTTTTCTGAGGAGTTCTGGGGGATGAAGCACCAGTAGAGATGCCTGGAACACTGTTGGAGGAAGACTCAGAGTGAGTCTGATTGAACGTGGTGAGAGCCCACATTACAGATTACCTCATGATGATGAGGGCAGAAAAATGTCAATATTTTTCTGCCCTTATTGCATCCACTGATAGCTGTCCAGTGGCCTTATTTAGGTGACCTGATCCCTGCTGGGTAGGGAAGAGCCCCAGGGTCATCTGGAGAGCTGCTATGAGAAATATTCTGGCTATCTGGCAGATAAAGTTGCTCAAATAAGAACAACAACCACAACAACCACCACCACAACAAATCTGCTCTGATTTGGATTCTGACTGAGCAGGTCAGGCAGGGGTGCCTGGGGCCTGGTCTTATGGTGTGATCTGGGATGTGTTCGAAGTGGTGACTCTGGGGGGAGTGGACAGGGTTCTTTGTGCTGTCAGTTCAGCCATCTATATATTGGACATAAGCCCCTTGTGAAAGCGGCTAGGGAGGTAACGTGTGGTTGGGTCCATGCTGTGGTGTTGACTTCTTTGAGGGAGGGGGTAGTAATCCTTGGACCCAATGATTTTAGATATAGTCGTGTGAAAAAGAAAGTACACCCTCTTTGAGTTCTATGGTT